CTCATTTCCTTTATCAGTTAATAATGTGATTATTTAGTTTTTGATTTTTGGAATTATTAAATACACTAAAATACCATAATTATTTTTAAATATTTAGATTTGTATACCTAGATCTTTTTAGGACTATTTTTTAGTAATACAAACTTCTTTTTTTTAATATAAACCACATTTAAGTACTTTCTGGTTTAATTTAAAATTCACTGTATTTATCTACTAAATAAAATGGTTTTTAAAAAAAAAATTCTTAACAAATATAAGATAAATGCTATATTTAATCTGGTGCTGAACCATATTTTGCAAATTGTAAAATGTTAATAAATTTACATTAATTTTTGTTATTTTCTAATTATTATAACTGCCCTATTATTATTTTTAAATCTATTGCTGTCAACTAATTCTTATCTTCGGTGACTCAAGGACTTATTATCAAAATTTTAAGTTAAATAACTCAGAAAAATATACTTTTTTAAATCACAATTTTGTAAAATAAAATATATTTTTAAAAATATCTCCTTAACAATTAATAATAAAAAGGATGATTTATATTTGAAAAATAAATGTAATTTCACGTTATATTATTTCAATGATATAAAAAATCCTATTATTTGAATAAATGTTTATTTAAATGGAGTAAGTATACTTGGCGAATCACTATATATGTTACATCGTTATATGACATTAAATAAATAATTGTTAGTATACGTTTTTAACAATATCATTTTATGTTAAATATAACGAATTTATTCAGTGATTGTAATAGTGATATTATTTAAAATAATAATATCTACTTAAATTTTAAATATCATCATTGGTATATATTTTAATTATTTGATATTCTATAGCAGTGAAACTATTAAAAATAAATAATTATATTCAATGTGTAATCGTATAACGAGAAATATACTGCGCATAGTATTTACTTGTACCTGATATTTTAAATAAAATGTATGTAAGTTACATGGGATTCAATTTTTGCAGTATATACATATATTTATATATTATAATATATTTAATATAATCTAATTTCTAAGTTAGATATGTATATGTGTATATATTATGTATAGCCGTATGAGCATACAATAATGTTGGCCGCAACGTGTGCTTTCAACGTAATACATTTATCAAATATTCAACTATCGTATAAGAGCTAAATTATTGTAGTACTCGTACACAAAGTAATAATAGAAGGTACTGAATTACTTTTAATATTGTACGAATAGTATGTTAATGTGAGTTAACTGACTATCTACTGTTTAACTTGTGAATCGTGCAAGGTAATCATGTCACTTTAAGATTATAACAGATGATGTTATTATAAGAGACAAAATTTATGAAACTTAGTAAGACACCTAAAACCTGCGTGATTTTCAGTTACACATGACCTAACGACAAAATACCTACGTGCTAAAAATTACTGATTATTCTCTTAAATATGTAACCTTAATAATTATAAAAATCTTACTCGTAGGTGGTAATCAATTTCTAGCTGAAGGTTAGAGTGAAGTTTTTCTTCAAATTATATTAACTTTAAATAATTGGCAGTTTGATAATATCATTATAAATTGTATAATAATTAATAATAAACTATACAGTGAATACAAGCATTTTATAGTACACACATTTACATTTTTTTTTTTTTTTTTGATTAGTTATTAAATTAGCCGTGCCTTATAAATTTATGAGGAATTTCTATTTTAAATACTTGCATTGTCGATAATTATATAGATTCTACAAAATCATTAATAATTTTCATAAATAAAAAGAATTAACAGACTCGTGGGCTGTACTTATTTTAGCATGGAGAATTGTATAAAAATATTATAATCAATTTTTCTATATCAAATTAGTTACGTAATATTATGTAATCTATTTTAAATAATATGTGTCATATATTTATTTTTAGATGACTTAATCTATTTTATTTTATTTATTTTTAATTTTAGTAATTTTTCACAGCAAATATTTTATGGTAAATTAAGTACCTTCCAAATTCACAAAATAATCAATATTCAATATTTTATTACACTCTTATAAATCAAACTTAAATAAAATACCTAATCTAGTCTAATATTATTTGAGAAATAGGCACATTTTTATTGTTTATACAACATGGGTACTTTAATTTATATACTATATTATTCATACTTTTTAATTGCTTTATAAAACCATATTTTTATTCATCAAAAAAAAAAAAAAAAAAAAAATCTTTTAATTAAAATTGATTTAATTTTTAACATTATTATTATTAACATTTTGTCAATGGCTATTATAACCTATATATTACGATAATTAAAATAGTTTGGTTAGACAATATAAGAGATAAACTGAAAAAAAAAGAGGATTATTCGAAATTATATTGTAAAGCCTGCAAGTTAATGAAGAGTAAAATAATTAGATTAATTATAACTATTAAACACATAGTAAAAGGAGTAGGGGTAAGTTCAATTAGTAGTTAGAGCATTTAAAAAATATTGTCTACTAGAAGAATACTAATATGTTTTTAAGTTAATATTGATGTAGTAAACATGTTCATACTAAAACTTAACTACTAATTTCTAATTTCTAATTTCTACATAGATTTTAGTCGCTATATGCATTTATATGAACACAAAATTCACGCTCAACCTTCTAAAATTTTTATTTTATTTTATTTATTATAAATTCATCAATTTACATCAAATAGGAAATATAAAGTCTATATAATTTTAACATTTTTCTAACTTTTAATCTTTTATAAATATATTTTGTCAAAGAGGAATATTTGAATCTATTATGTGTTAACAAACACAAAATTTTAGTACTCAAAATACACATTCGTACTAATACACACGTATAACATATATTATATGTATATAGAGGACCTGAAAATACACGTATTCATATTTGTTGGTAGAATATACATATTATAATATTTTCACATAAAAAACAAATCAGTACGTATCCTGAGTTTTTCAATCCCTAATATTTTAATAATCAACAAATATCTTTTTATAAGAAAATTTTCTATTTCCTGTTGACAAAAGTTTACCGATATTTATCATAATAATACAAAAAGTTCGTATTGTACGTATATTAAGTATTTTATAAACACCAATGACTATGTGTGATATCGAACGTTATGGTTTTTCAAAAAATGCCACAGCTTTGCCACATCAGAGATGTCGGCATAATTTAATATCCAACTACCACCAACGAAACGAAATTAAATAACACTCAGAATATTATCCTCGACGTCAGACAGCCACTGTTTTCGCCCTTTCTGTATATTAAATTAGTTGAAAATCCTTTTAACCTTTTGGATTATACCAAGATAAATCCTTATGTTTTATCAGTTATATCGTTACATTTCGTTTCGTCACTAATTAAAAATTGGTATCTGGATAATAGCTTATAATAACTATACTATAACAGATTACAGTTATTCAAAATATTAACCTCTTTCCAGAAGTTTAAATCAATTCAAAATAAAGACATTGAAAAGGGCATAGATTGTAAAATTGTTTTATTCGTCAATTTGAATAAACGTATTGATAAACAAAACTAACTTGATTAGTATAGGTATTACAGACGTCAATAATGATACACTTCAATACACTCGAGTTATATTTACAATGCCACGACTAGAGGGACAAAACAACCCAAAAGTAAATCATATATATACATATATTTTCATAATCTAAACGGAATACTTTTTCCAAATAAATAACATAATGAACAAATAATGTATTTTATAAGTACATAAAAATTATTTCAGCGTGTTAGTGATATTTCCTTACCACTCTTTGGGTTTTATACATGCCAGTGTACTGTGTAATAAATACTATATGCGTAGACTGCATATGGCCAAATTAAAGACAGCTAAATATTTTGAATTTGTATTTTTTTCTTGATAAATATTCGTATATAATATTATTAAGGTAATTCAGTAAAATAAAAACTTTAGAACGAAAATTGTAAATATTATTTTTAAATTTTAGTTTTAAAAAAAAAAGTTGTTGTTTTGATCTTAGCAACGGGCTTTTACAAAATATTTCATTTCAGAAAAAAAAATATAAAAATTAACAAAAATGAACTATTAAAAATATTTCAAAAATTATTTTACTTAGATCGTCTTATCTTATACAATAATAATAATGATAAAAATATGTAGCAAATCATTTTTTACCTCGTAGTATTAGTGTATTACGCGACTTTATTCACTTGATATAATAGTATATATACGTTGTCATAACACTTATGTATACATAAAAAAACCAACATATTGATTAAGTACTTCTAACTAGAATACCTTAATTATATTATATCATAGTTTTCCGATGTACTGAGAGAAATACAATAAGAATGTTCAATCATAGCAAATGTGTTGTTTTACTTAGTCATACACCCTGAAAAGATATTTCAAAAATATTATACTGTTTGATAATTGATCTTTTTTTTTTAGATAATCAGAAACTTCTGAAATAAATTTGTCAAAAAATAAATAAATACAATTGCGCTTATGTATTATGTATTTTTAATATTTCTTTACAAAATATAAATATAAGAACATTATATATACATTTTCAAGAATTTTAACTTTCTACGGTCATTTATAAAAAAATAATTGAAAACTCGGCATGTTTATAAATAGCTCAAAATGAATTAAAAATTTTGAAAATTTAATCATTTAACATAAATGATTATATTATTATAATATTATATTTCAAGTATCTGTGTTTATTTATTTTTTGAATTACAACAAAGAACAAAAATCGTTTGGATTAAATAATTATTATATGAATGAATATAAAATAAGTTACTTAATAGTAAATATATTAAACACTAATTAGTAATCAATAATTTTAAAATTAAAAACACCTTTTACTTATAACATAAATTTATTTCTATATTTATATTTTGTTATTAATTTTTAAAGTTTCTATAAATTTAACTTTATAAATTGTATGAATATTATATATATATAAGTAAATTATATTTCATAATTTCCTATTCATTTTCAGAAAACTTCAATAAAAAAATGGAATCTGAACCGGTAATTGTGGTAGATCAAGAAAATTGTTTTAATGAAGAAGATGAAGATATAGATGATGTGGCCGGAAATGGGCAAGGATGTCCTGATGATCCTCCACAGGACCCCTTTTTTCTATCGCCTTTTAGAGACATGCGGAAACGCTCATTACCAACACCACAATGCACATCGGGAATAACTGCTAGTCAAGTAATTTATAAAAAAATTGAAATAATTCAATTTTTCTTTTATAATGAAAAACATTTTTTTTCATTTTAACCATACTAAATTAAATTGATAAAACATAAATACAGATGTAAATGATAAATGATAATCCATAGCATACTTTATAGAATATTATCTTAAGAATATTTAGATTTTTCTTTGTTTGATTTTTAATAAAGGCTTTATTAACAATGATGAATTTACATTGAAAAATGTTATCGAACAAAAAGGATTTGTAGCTTATTATATCTAACTTAAAGAAAAATATTGTCATATTTTATTCCAATACTTTAATCAGGGAATGGACAGATTTTAGATTGGCAGCCAAAAAGGCTTTAAGTGGCGTAATTAGAACTCTGATTCTTTTTTTCTTTAGAAATGATTCATAACTACCACGTACAAGTACTTAATAACAAAACACCACTTCTATAACTATTGTATAAAAAAATAAACAATTAAGACAATACAGCTAATACTATTAATCAATTTATATTTTATTGAATATGTTTACTATATTTGTAATAACAAAAATATTTTTTTTAGGTTACATCATGGATATCATCTTAAAAAAAAAAAATTATCGAAGCCATATTATACTTAAAATAAATACAGTAGTATACTAATATTTGCATTAAATATAAATATGTTATACATTATTTTCTTATAATAATATAGCAATGTCAATCAATTAAATAATTATAATACAAATAAAATGTTTACTATTTTTTATAATTGTTTACTCGATGATATTGGCCAATAACACTTACTGTTGTATTTGATAAATTTATATTTACAAATTATATATTATTATTATCATCTACATTATTTTTGTATGCTATTAAAACTAATTAAGTCTAAATATATGCATTTAGTTTTAAAAATTTCTAAACTTAAATAAAATATATACATTATTATAATTTAAATATAGTAAATTTTATGAATATAATATTTCAATCTAAATATATTGATTTACATTTAAATAACACAAAAAATTCATCGTTAACAAATACCCAAGTAATATGATATAAATGATTTATTATAGTTAGTCGCGTAAATTCGCAGTGACAATGAATTTAATGGGTATCATAGATAAAATAGAGTAAGTAGGTACTAAGTCATTATTGAGTTATTCGACCGATAATTCCGGAAGCTTTTAAATTGTCTCTGTCCGGACCGTATCGAATAGTAGTCTGTGAAAAATATGTTTAATTTTTGTAATATGAGTACATATATATATATATATATATATATATATGCATTATGCAATATGATTCCCCGAAAGAAATTTACATGATGCGTCCTTATTCAACCATTATGAAAACAATGTGATATGTTTATGAGACTTATCCTAAGTCTACTTTTGATAATTACATAAAATTTTCTAAACAACTCGACATTTGAAGAGGACCAAAGATTATGTTGGATATTTTGTTGGATTCCACAAATTTTAATGGAGCAAAGCAACCATATTATTAGTCCTGTATACCTACCCTACGAATACATTTATTATTATTAAGTTAAGTCATCTCTATGCGTGACGGGTTAGGAATAAATTTGATTGTTTGGATACTTTTAAATTTTTGGCTACTTTATCGAGCTATTTGTTCTCATTTGTCCAAATAATTACATAAGTATGCATATTAACAATACTTTGTTAAATTCATAATACGCCCCACCCACGTAGTTTACGTATATATAATTATAAAAATCCCCATATCAATAATCCAACATAAGATAAGATGAAATGTTTTTTAATTAAAAACCTTAATAATTACTATAACCATCATGATATTCGAATTATTCGCTTTTAATGTATAATAACATGTTTTTGTAAAATCTCAGGGTGTTAAAGTACTATTGTTTATTACTATCTTTCTTTGTGCAATAAACATATTTTTAATAAGCTCCGAGAAATCTGTAACATTATTAAGAATTTAACTAAAAACAACTGATGATTTCTTTCCCCCGTCCTATAATCTTTTCAAATATCTTTAGATATTGTATATGTTTTTGTGTGATGCTACTGTAGGTGCGAAGATTGAGCGATCAAGGAGCGGCCGGTGCGGCTGCCCGGGAAAAGGCATTCTTAGCCACGTTAACCAAGGCACCCGGGCCCTACACACCAGGTCGCCGACATTCGGTTATCACAATATCAAAGGCACCTATGCCGTTGTTCGGCCGCAATAGACGCGAATCGATTGCCGCATTCCCCAGCAAAGGTCCGAGGGTGAACCGCAGGGATTCATCCGGTGGTGCTACGCCGTCACCCACCGGTAGTCAATTTAACTTGCAGCTGGACATTATGGATGACATAGCCGATATCAAGGCGGCGCGGAAGGTCAGGATGAAGATGTGGCAAACTGAGGACAAAGAAAAAATGTGCGAACTCCAATCGATGGACGGCGAAAACAAGCAAATGTCTAGGTACATAAATTCACGGTATATATTGTGATCGGTGCAACACGATTGCGCACTTTTTACTTTTTCATATTTGAGAAAATACAACACGATTGCGCACTTTTTACCTTTTTCATATTTGAGAAAATACAACACGATTACGCATCTTTTACATAATTATCTTTAAGTTCTTGTCTTTGTTGAAGGTTCAGCTTCAATTTTCCATAAAATCGGTGGAAAAGCGGTATCAGATGATTTATAATTATTAATTATATAATCAGTGAATTCAAAATTATCAGTAGAGCTATTTTCAATTAAATAAGCAAAAGCATTTGAGTGAAAAATATTGTGTTGTATTTTTTCAAACATAAAAAGGTAAAAAGTGCACAATCGTGTTACGCCCACTAATGAAGTCACTAATATTCGGATTCCAATACTAATCGGATAATCCGGATATTTTAAATAATTTCTTACTAATTATAAATTTAAATATTTGTTATTTAATTTATAGATTTTAAACGGTATTTTATTTAAGTTAATAAAATTTAAAAATCATAGTTTGACGTATATTTTTCACCTTTAAGAAATTTGAATTATTCGGATTATTCGGTTATTAAATTTTGAATTCGGATATCCAGATATCCGGATACCCAAAAATCCGAATTTTTAACATCACTATAATATACATTCTATTATAATATTTATGTAAGTGTAAATAGATGTAACTGAATCAGCTATATATAACTAAAAGATAAAGTGAAATTTGTATTAAAATACTATATCGTTGTATGGCATGGAGTTTTAAAGAACCCATAAATAGTAGATAGGTACATAATATGGAAGTTAATTAAATAATTTTTCTTAGTGATGAACAAGTTTATAAAAGAGATAAATAAAATCATATACATAATAAGAATATAGATGTGAAAAGTTTGAAAAATGTCACTTATCACTTATATACCACTAATCCATTTATCTACTTAACCATTAAATTATTATAATTTTGATAGTAATTACAAAATAATCCGTTTTATAAGTGCTTATTACACTAATTTTCTTGATAAATTCTTGTATGGTTATATTTTTATTTTTATTTATTTATTTATTTATTTTTTTTTTTTTGAAATACTCATAGCATGTGTTATCTTATTTTATTTTTATAACTAGAAGTAAAATTAATTATCATTAAGTACAAAATATGGTATTTTATTTATGAACTATGGAAGTTTAGTTAAGTAGAATGAAGTGACAAGGAGTACCTCATAAAATGTGTAAGTACTTTAAACTATATGAAAACATTTTTTTCTTTTTTAAGCCTACAAAAAAATAACTGTAGCCAGTTAAATGGATCATCCCGTACATACATATTATTTAATATATTTTACCTTATTGTATACTATTTATCGTGTTTCAAACCCTCGAACCCATGAAGTTTTGAAACGTAAATTGAATTCATTAACTACCAATGAGAAGATCTACATACACACAACGTAGCACGGGTATATATTTACGAAAGTATATAAACTTTATGAATAACATTATAATGTTAATATAGTCTGTATTAAGTGATTTTATTGAAAACTTTTTTGGAATTCTATGTATAATAATACTCATCTACGTTTTCATTTAAATAAATATGTATTTTTTGGAAACACTTATGAAAGTAACTACTAAACACAGGCCCTCTCAATTTTGAAATTTCCATATATAATCATAGGCGTGCGGCGTAGAGTATACAACGTGTGTCCTGGTACAGTCTGTGATATTTAATAGTCCGAAGTACCCAATATCTCGATCAAATTGCTCATTTATTAATTGCAATAATTATATCTTAATTATCAAAATCAATTATAGATTACATTTTTAAAACAATTTCAAAAATTTAGAATAATTCACTGAGCGCACTCCTCTTTTGTTGAAAGTCTGTGTACAATTTAACCTGACATTTAGTGATTAATATAATATATAAAAAAATATTTTGAGTTAATTATAATTATGTACTATGAAAACAATTGTTTAATATTTTGCGTGTGATTATTTATTAATAATTTATTTTTCCTTTTTTATAGTATTTTAACTTTAATATTAACCCACCACGATTTCTTTCTCGGAAATGATTTATGGTAGTTTTCTATTATATTTATTTTAAAAGCTCATTAATTTAAAAAAATATAATAGTTTAAATATAAAGGGCCCTCTAATAATATATGGGCACTACTTACTTTTAGAGTCTGCGCACATCTGTGTATATGTTACGGTAAATTATGTTATATCAGAAATTAACGTTATTCGCCGGTTATTAACGTTATTTACCTACGAATGTGGGAATTATCGTTATTTTCTAGTGAATAACGTTAATAACTGTATGGTTTGGGAAATTTTGATCTGATTATAAAATAAAAGAGGTTATTGCGGAAGATTTAAAAAAATAACCAAAGAACCAATCATCAAAGAAGACAAAATCGGAAATTAAATCATAGAAATCGCAGAAAAAAATTCGGAACTTGGTACTTAAATATTTTTTAATTATTTAACGATAAATTTCCGAATTTTAAATATAACAAAAATAAAACTAAAATATAAATATTTGAAAATTATTTTAAATATTTTTTTGATGATTGTCAAGAAAATATTTGTATTGCATGTGAAAATTCAAAAAAAAATTTAGAAAAACAAGTAAAGGAAATGATGAAATTTTCTAAAGAAAAGTTTCCTCAGCTTGAAATAGGCTTAACTGTATGTGTATTTATACCAAACGTTGATAGAGCTCGTGGTTCTATGCAAAATATACTATCAGTTGTCACTCAAGTTGAACATGATTTATACAAACTCTGTAAGTTAATTCTTAATGAAAAAATATACTATTAAAATTAAAATTTGTTTTATTATTTTATAAATACGGAATATAGTTTTCTAAAAATATTATTTCACATTCCAAAAATAGCTGTTTGCAAATAAAATCTATTAGACATGGACAATGTGATAAAATTAGCAGATGGTAGACAGTTGACACTGAGGGAAGTAGCTAGTAATAATTCGGTTGCGAGCCCTCGAAGGTACCAGCGTTGTCATTGCAAGACTAGCTGTAATAACAATAAGCATTGTGCCTACCTTGGGGCTGAAAAATTATGTTATATTAAATGTCATGGGAGTAAAACTTGTAAAAATAAATAAAAAATAATAATGCATTTATTCTATTTTTAAAAATATCTGGGTACTTACATAATTTTTCAAATTGTTGTATTTGAGATTCATGCGCTTATCTGATTTATAACATCAATTACCTGTGTATTTGGCCATTAACGTGATTATCCAGTTTATAACGATAATTACCTGTATATTTGGTAAATAACGTTAATAACCGGTGAATAACGTTAATTTCCATTTAACATCATTTACCGTAACATATATAATAATCTGTTATTGATGTATGATAATTTAACTAAATATCTAGGATCTATTATTATATAGCTCTTAAAATATTTAGTAAATAATTTTTTTCTAAATATTATTTATATTTTTACTGAATACATTTTTATCATTTTTGCAGACTGTGATTTTCATTTTCCCAGTCAATTTTTGTTTTTTTTTTTAAATTATCACAAAAATATCTTATAAAAGTAAATTAAGTATTAGTCTTGGCTGCATAATTGTTGCTAACCCAATAACTTTTATAATTTTAAAATATGCCTATTATATTATATTATCGTTGACTGTTTAATAAACACAGTTAAAAATCAACAAATTTCAATTCAAAAAAAAAAATAATTTAAGTTTACTAATTAATTTTTTACCAGTTTATTAATATTACTCTTATAAATAATAAACTTAACAATAATAATAAAAAAAAAAAATGACAACATGACAACAGTATTGTATAAAAACGAAACAATATTTTTAATAAATTATAAGTTTGTATAAATATCGGAAGGAAGATAAAATTTCATAATAATTTAAAATATTTATTTTTATACTTAATATTTTTAATTAGTAAGTAACCCAAAAATACTCAAGTCAAAATTCAGTATACCTTTATATTGCGATACGTAACTAATAGTTACCTTATTTTTTTATGATCTTTTTACGGTTATTACTTTTTTGCTTATATTTTTTTTAATGACAACTATGCAGTTTTTTAATTTAATCAATTTAATTAGTTTTCAGTACTATAAAAATTATCCATTATTAAATTATATTAATAAATAACTGTTTGAATAATAATAAACAAGTATATTTATTCTACAGAACACTATATAAATATATTAAGTTCTGAGTGAAGTGATTAATGTATCGATTTTACAATATATTTTTTTTTTTATTGCGTATGTTCACGTATATACATTACAAGTAATCAAAAATATGCTTAAAATTAAATTCTAAAGGAGGTTTTGGATAGGAAATTGAATCTAGTATGTAGTTTGAAAAAAAAAATATCAGTATTCTTCAAAATAATAAGGAAAACTAGACCGTAATTTTTTTAATGAAACTCAAAAACTAATAATCGTACATACTTTAAATTTCCACCAAATTTTTGTATCATTTTATTTTGATCCTTTTTGAGTTATTTATAAATATTTTAAATGTTCTAATATTTTTGATATTTTATTAGTTTTTTTTTTTTTTTAATGCCGATAAAAACCAATTTACTAGATACAAATACTTAAAAATGCAATTATATAAGGTTCCTCAATATTCTTTGATATGTCAATTAAAAAATATCAAAAATATATATTTGCAATATTTTTTTATAAGCGTTTAAAGTTCAAATTTGGATTAAATTACACATTTAAACTATGAATAACAATAATGAATATTTTATTATAATTCAAAAACATCGATCGTAGAAACAGAAGATTTTTACATACATTATTATATTTTTTGCACTCAATGATTTTTAAAATTAATGTTTTCAAGAGAAATTTATTTTAACCTACTGTATTTCTGACAGTAAAATAAATTAATTTATCGAATAAAAATATCAAATATTACATACTTAGTGATATAGGCTAATAGACTGTCTCTTCTTA